GGGTATGTTGCTAAATCACTTTTAGCAATAAAGGACATGTTGCAACAATTTTCTAGTCACCTAAAACATTAGTAACATATACCATGTTACTGATGTTATATATTACCAACAAAACCCATGTTGCTATTATTCCTATATTTTTGGCAACTAAAAATCAACAACAAGAAATATGTTGCTTATATTACTACTTTGACTGTCAGTTACCCAAAACCATTATATATACACATTTCCATGTAAAGAATCTACTCTTACTAGGAAAGATTCAACTCTCATTTTCAATAGTTGACTCTTAAGCAAAAAATATATATATATATATATTTCTATGTGAAATGTTTCTGTAAACTCAAAAGTATATCCATATTATTTTTTTAGACAAATTAGAGATTTGAACCATTTAAATAAAGAGTGAATAACGTAATTATATTAATTAATATGTTAAGTGTTAAGTAATATTTAATAAAGTAACAAAAATCAACTAAGAAATTAAATTTTAGAGATAAAAATAAATTTTTTTAAGTATATGAATCAAACAATGGCTGAAAATGCTAATTTGATTTATTAGCAATATGTTACATATCGATGATGAGTTATGCCATTTGAAATTCGACCAAGTTTTAGCAACATAGAATATGTTGTTGATTGGGGGGAACCTTTTCACCAACGTGATATATGATACTGAAAGGTTTATAAATACTTCCACCTTAACCGAGCTGAGCAATGCTTTCATTTCTCCTCCCATTCTCTCCTATATGATATGCTCTCTACCTCCTCCATTTCTTAGTCTCCTCCATTTCTCAACCTTTTTTCTCTCTCTCTCTCTCTCATTTTTGCACAAATCCTCCAATCTCACTCATTTTTTATTTATTAATTATCTATCAAGTATAATTTATTTCTTATCTTTTAATTATCATAAAATTCTCAAATATAGATCAGCAATTAAATTAATTTTCATCAACTTCTTCATTCTCTTGAGGCATATATTGTGATTTTATTATATTCAATATTTTTATAAACATTAAATGATTAAAT